AGTCCATAGAAAAATTGTTGGCATCAAACCAGTCCCTTGTACCAAAAAGTTTGTGGACTGCTGATATCTGTTAAATTAGCCAACATAATATTGTAAATAATGCAGTGTTTTATTTCTCTGAGCTATTTACAGAAGCCAAAACTGTAGAGAATGAAGGGAAATGGTGAGTGCCAGAGTTGGAGAGGGAGCATGGAGGCACTGTTTCCTGATCTTATTCTTGTAAAGTAGAATGTGGTGGTAGGAGCAAAAAAATGTGATGGCACCCAACTAGATTCAGCAATATGCTTAAAAGTTGTTTAAATATAGAAGGATGTTACATGAATTTTCCAATGCAAAAATGGGCATGAAGGTAGTTAATTTTCTCCCATTTGATGGCTTCTCCCTGCACAAAAATTCACAATTACATTGAGCTACTTTACCCCACTCAACCTCCACCAAGTCCTACTGAGCCCCAGGATCCCTCACCCTACTGAGAGGAAACATGAGGCAGAATCATCATACACAACATTCCTGAAAACAGTGCCCTAAATGCAAGGGACCACACAGCCTTCTCTACATGATTACAGAGCAGGAAAATCAATGAATGGAAACGGGAGATCAAAAACAAGGAGAGATGAGCAGACAGAAAGTGATAGAGGGATATCCTCATATAAACAGATATCTAGTTCAATGGACCCAACTCTACGTAGAATTTCTCATCATGTCTTTATCCACCTTTATCCTGACTTTCAAGTCACAGTGTAGGACAGTATTATCTACATATTCAAGATCTTTTCTGAATTGTTATGGGAATTTTTATTACCCAAATAAAGTGAAAAGTTGAGGGTGCTGCTGTGAAATTATTAAAATTGAAAAATGCTGCAAATCTTCAAAAGTTCTCTTTCCTTCTAGGCATATATAAGGCAGGTGCCATGGAAATGGAAAATGTGAGCTTTACCAACACTTTTACCCTGCTGGGCTTCTCAGAGTTTCCGTGGCTGGAGAGGCCCCTCTTTGTAGTTATCCTGGTCTCCTACCTCCTCACCCTGGTGGGGAACAGCTCCATCATCCTTCTCTCCCTGGTGGACACCAGACTCCAGACACCCATGTACTTCTTCCTGGACAACCTCTCTCTGCTGGACCTTGGTGTCACCTGTACCATTGTACCCCAGCTGCTGGCCAATCTTTGGGGACCAGACAAGACCATTGCCACCTGGGGCTGCATCACACAATCCTATCTCTTTCACTGGACAGCTTGCACTGAATGTATCCTGCTGGCCATGATGGCCATTGATCGGTATGTGGCCATCTGCCGGCCCCTCCAGTACACTCTCATCATGCATCCCTGTGTGTGCATGCAGATGGCAGCTGCCTCCTGGTTCAGTGGCCTGGCCAATTCTCTTCTCCAAGCAACACTCACCCTGCAGCTCCACCTCTGTGGACACCACACCCTGGACCACTTCTTCTGTGAGATACCTGTGCTTATAAAGCTGGCCTGTGGGGACACCTCTGCTAATGACCTGGCCCTGGCTATAGGAGCCATCCCATTTGGAACGTTGGCCCCCTTGCTGGTAGTCATCTCATACACCTTCATTGCTAGGGCTATACTGAAGCTATCTTCAGCTGAAGGAAGGCACAAGGCACTCAGCACCTGCAGTTCCCACTTGCTGGTGGTCACCATGTACTTTGGTCCTGCCATCTACATGTACCTCCAGCCTTCAGATAAGAGTTCCCAGGCCAAGTTCATGTCCTCGTTCTACTGCATTGTCACACCAGTGCTCAACCCACTCATATACACACTGAGAAACAAGGATGTGAAAAGAGCCTGGAAGGGGATCCTGCAATCACTGCATGGGATGAAGTCCTAAATGCCAGATGCAGGATATAAAATCAACATTAAAAAGTCAATAGCTGGGCTAGGGATGTAGCTCAGTGGCACCACACATGCCTTCCAACCACAAGGTTCAGTACCTCATACACACAAAAAGAAAGTCAATAGATTTTCTATGCACCAATAATTAGCTAAGAGGGGCTGGGGATTTAGATCAGTGGTTCTGCCACCTGCCTCA